ATCTCACAACCTTTTACAGTATTTCATTCAAAACTTGATCAAACATAAAGTTATCAATGTATGTTGATAAGCTTGGAATGAAAACATTACTTATAATTCAGATTTGCTTATTATCTAAATTTGAATTTAATTTTAAAAAGAAATATCAAGAAATTCTCAATTTTCATTTTTTGGTGCCACGTAATGTGTCTGATTTTCAATTTACCCCTTTTAGAATCTTCTAACAGCAACAGTAGGCTGGTGCAGTTTCAACCAATAAAAAACATAAACAATACACAATTTCAAGCAAGAATATAAATTTTGAAACTCCTACCTTCTTGATTTGCTGAGATATCAATAAATTTGTCAAACCCATCAGAGAAGACCCCCACTTCTCTGACTTTCCAAGTTGTTTGATAATCAATTTTGCATATCTGATTGACATGTTTATAACCAAATAAAAGAGCAATTTCTTCTCTAAGTTTCTGAGTTTGCAGTGATCATGTTTTTCTGCTCTGAACTCAAAGAATTTTTTTAAACTTAGAAATCCAGGTAAATTATACTAGTTTTTGGACATTCTGTTCTAGTAACTGATTTTTTTTCTAAAATCCATATTTGAAAGGTACATGAATTCTTTTTAGTGAGACTCAACAAGGCTTTCAGAAGGAATGTCTTAATTTTCAATCAAGTGCAAACAAGCTTGAGTGCGCATTAAATACTACAAATTCTTGTTTTTATGTATGTACTTTATTTTTTAACAAAAGCAACTAAAATGAAAAATTAGGAATTCAGCTTATTCTAACTGATTTTTAGTAAAATTAAATGTTTAAAATTTCATAAGCTTGAGCATGTATGTACTATGATACCTCACAATTGTGCTGTTTACTTTAGCTCTGTAGGAAACAGCTAATGAGCTCCCAGTGTGACTTGTTACTTTTAGCATGAGGATTACTGCTTCAGTAGGTACAAATCACAGTAGTATAACCATCAAGTTAAAAAAGGGAATAGATGTGAAAAAGTTAACAGTTCAAACTCTTAAGTAATTTTGAAATTTCTGATGAATATTACAGCCAGTACAGGGAAAAAAATGGTATTATTCAATTCATTCAATATTTTTCAAACTTTTCACTGTATTTTGATCATTTTGCTGCAGTTAGTGTTAGTGTTGGGAAAATGAGATGAAATATAAAGTTTTACCAAAAACAAAACTTTTGATATTCATTTAAGGAGTTCTAGAGGTTATGCAAATGAAATATGAAAACTGTAAGATAAATATTTTTATTCTCAGCATAAAAATCTCCTTCTACTCACTGACCTCAGTAAAGGTTTTGGAAATTCACAGACAAGTCTTTAGTAAAAATACTTCATTAAAAAACCTGATTTTTTTTATGTTCAAAAGACTTGTAATGCCAAATTTTAATAAGATATATTTAGTAAATTCAGAACTATAGTAAACTCTAGTTTGGCTTCACATATACTGTGTCAGTCAATTTGAGAACAGATAGATAAGACAATAAAAGTGAAATGGCTTGCAAATGCGGGCCTTTTGATAATAATGATAAGTTTGTGGTAGGGATATGGATGAATAATACCCATGGTATTTCAAAATTAGGCTAATTGCTTATCCATTTAAACTCAATCTTTGGGGCAGAAGATCCACCTGAATTCTTCTACCAACTTTCATAGATATATTAGTAAGTCTGATGTATCCTATCCTTTTTTTTATAAATCACAACTTAAATTTTTCATCTAGTGTTTATTATAAAGATTAGTTCTTTGATTTAAATGTCACAGTACTAAAGTATTGCTACTTTAAAAATGCAGTTTGTGTTTCTGCCTAACACAGAATGTATTCAAAAGAGATTAACTCTCTCCACGTGGGCTTGGTCAATTTGACCAACCATGTGACCTCTTTGTACTCATTTAAAGTCTTTATAGATTTAATACTTCTAACTTTCAATATAGTGTGTATATCTTCACAACATTTGGCAATCTTTCACATACAAAAAATCATAATATTTAGTGAAGTATTTTAATAAACTGAAATAAAGATTTGTCCATGAATATATTGAGTATTTGTTTTGAATAATCTGTATACTTTATCTGTTATTTTATCTACCCTAACTCTATACAGGGTTGGTCAAGTTGACTGATTTTAAACTATACTAATTGGTATAACACAAACAAAAAGTAGTTTAATAAAATTTTGAATGTAAGACCCTAAAACCTTGTGTCATGCATAGTGAAGGATACCTTGGGCAAGAGGGTTAAATTTATGAAATGTTCCATGGCTTACTGGCTAATTAGTGGAAAACTTTTATGTCTGTAAAATTAGCAATATTCATCAGAAAAGTGATTGTTTTAGGTTCAGAGAAATTCATAGTGAAAAATGTAAAAGAAAAAAATGTGTGTGATTACTTTACAAAATGCATGTGTCCAAGAACTTGTATCCTGTCTTTCTGGAAGTATGTTCAAATACTCATCTGCTGTTTGTTTGGAAATATTAATGGAATCTTGCCATTTTGCTTAGATAAATAATTTTCATCATGTAAATTTGACTACATTTAACTCCATGACTTTTTGAGTATGATAATTGTAAAAATGAGATCTACTTGAACCATATATTGGTCAGAATTTATGCTTTGTCAAGTGCTCTATGATAAATTGTCAGTGATACATTTATTTACAAATGTTTAGTTAACTAGAAATTGATACATATATGAATTTTTAATTTTGTTGCAGTTAAAAAAAAGTGTGGCTGATATCTTGTTTACTGATTTTAAGAAACACTAACTTTGTGTTTTGAATTGTTTGCATACAAATGTGAAGCACATGTGCATAGATTGTGAATATTCATCAGTTCTACAAATATAGATCTGGACTAGATCTTTAAACCCAATAATAGTTTTATTAGTTCACCTGGAAAAAAAATAATTTTAAACCCTCTATACATGGGTCAAAGGCCATGTCATTGCGTTTGTTGACTCGCATGAAAATTTTATTGAACTATTATTTTATGAATTTATATCAATAAGTTTGGTATCAAATTGTAGATTGTAATTCAAATTTTAGTATTATACATTATTTAACTTCTTAATTTAAAATATTAAATATTAAAAAGTCTAGTTTCTTACAAATTAGGAACTCAAATTGCTGATACTGACAAGCTAAAATATCAAATAAGAACCTTCTGTCTTTCCTATTTGCTGAGATATTGCTCATGTACTGAACCACACACAATGGCCCTGCCAACTCTTTCCATTTTTGGAAACACTTCCTTATGTATACAAGTACTTATGTCTATAACATGTGAATAACCAATCGAAAGCTCAGAATGTCCCCCTGGTGGCTTTCTCGGCCATTTTGAAGTATTATGACATTAACTCATTTTTTTTCGATATAGAACTAAGCTGCTAAGTTGGGTCTTTAATCTGCTCAAAATTTCATATTTTTTTAAACCTAAATATAGCTAAGTTACTAAGCTTGATAAATTATAGTGTAATTCTATAGTATCAATATTCTTCTTCTATAGCTTTTTCCCGTATCTATACGGGGTTGCTATTTTTGGTGTTGGCAGGGTTTTTTTTACGGCCGGATGCCCTTCCTGACGCCAACCATCCCCTAATTTAGCAGTGTAAGACTAGAGGGAAGGCAGCTAGTCATCACCACCCACCGCCAACTCTTGGGCTACTCTTTTACCAACAAATAGTGGGATTGACCGTCACATTATAACG